TTTTTTTTTTTTTTTTTTTTTTTTTTTTATTTTTTATTAAAATTTTGTCAAAACTTTTTATTAACCTTTGTCACTTTTCAAATACTTTTTTATTAACTAAATACATACAAACTCTAATTAAAAAATATGTTTTTTTTACATATTTGAAAGGTTTACTTTTAAAATATATAAAATTATATATGCACTATATATATATATATATAATAGATTTAGGTTAACAATAAGTCGACTTAATAGACCAATCCAAATATGTCATATATGAGCTAGTCCGGACAAATCAAGTTTAAACTTGAATCTAGTCCAAGTTAGGTTCGGGTCAAACTAGACCACAAGACCATTGTTGAGGTTGAAAGTAACAAAATGGTTCTATAAATATTTTGAAACTAACAAATTCTGGCGGACACAATACTCGAACTTATTTTGGCAAGTTTTGTAATGGCTCAAATAGACGACCATTAGGCCAGTAGAACGCAATAAGCATCGAAGTAGGTTAATAAAGCCCGATAAGCATTATCATGCCCTAGTAGCTCCCAATAAATGTTTAAATCACTCAGTAAGCCCGATAAAATGTTATAAGCTTGTTTTGACTCAACAAAGTGTTAGAACTCATCTCAATGAAGTCGTGAATCAATGAATAACACTGAGAGTCATGTCGCTAAGAATCAAGACAACAAAAACGAAACGCAACATTACGTTCGAAGAATTTTAGCTTAGAGTAGAGACAAAGTTGAGTCACGAATACAGAAAAATATACATATAGACAACGTTTACGGCCCCGTAAAGTTGCGTTGAATACAAAGCAAACCCCGAGATTCTAGAAACTAGATAGCATGGATTGGATTGGTTCTTCATAGGCAAAAATGGGAAGAAATCATTTGAAGAATAATATGAATTAATCAAAGACTAAACCCAGTTACTAACACATCAGAAGAACAGATTACAAAGAACAAAGAACAATAAACAAGAGCACCAAGAACTGAAGAACAAAGAACCATATGTGCTCAATAAATTAGCAATCTGAAAATTTCACCTCTCATGTCAAAGAAACCATCAATGCCCAAGAAAAGATTACCCAAATCAAGAGCTGATATGAAGAGACCTGCAGCTTTGAACTTGCACCAGGAAGCTGACCTGAAGGCCCCAATGCCGGAGGAGAAACTCCACCTCCACCACTTGAATTGGAGCTGTTTTTCAATATTTGAAACGATTAGAACTCATGTATTGATATAAAAAAACAGATGATTTCTTGATTTCTTAAGTTATTGAGAGTGTTTTTGGTGGAATCTTCCACTTACCTTCCTGTGTATATGCAAGAGCCATGACCTGCAAGAGATTGGGGATAAGAGATTTTGTTAAAGTCGAGTCCCGTACGAAACCCGAATAGTTGATATAAGATGAAATCGTTCAAACAGGCATTACAAACAAAATTAAGTAGAAGTTTAATGCCTTGACAGGGTATGCACATAGAATGGCAGACGAAACTTATGTGCGATATATACGAGCGATGTAACCGTGAAGACAGGCTTTATAATAAATCAAATTGAGAAAGGAGATCAGAATCTTTGTACAAAAAATATGACAAAGAACTAGTTACCAACGAAATTAAGTGAGATCTCACATCAATTGGAGAGAGAAACAAGTGCTAGCGAGGATGCTAGCCCCTAAAGGGAGGTGGATTGTGAGATCTCATATTGTTTGGAGAGGGGAACAAAGTATTATTTTATAAGGGTGTGGAAACCTCACCCTAGTAGACCCGTTTTAAAAACCCTTGAAGGGAAGCCCAAAAAGAACAATATCTGCTAGCGGTAGGCTTGGATGGTTACAAATGGTATCAAAACCAGACACTGGGCGGTGTGCCAGCGAAGACGCTGCTCCGAAGGGGGCTTGGACACCAAGCGGTGTGCCAACGAGGAAGTTGGGACCTAAAAGAGGTGAATTGTGAGATTCCACATGGATTGGAGAGAGGAATGAGTGCCAACGAGGATGCAAGGCCCCAAACGGAGGTGGATTGTGAGATCCCACATCGGTTGGAGAGGGGAACGAGACATTCTCTACAAGGGTGTGGAAACCTCTCCCCATTAGATGCGTTATAAAAACTTTGAGGGGAAGCACAAAAGGAAAAACTTAAAGAAGACAATGTCGGTTAGCGGTGGGCTTGGGCTTGGGCTGTTACAAACCTGTTGTACCCTATGGTCATCCGAAAAGTCTGGAAGATCAAGCCCCTTTTTTTCGAAGGCCATTCTCCCTTGATGGTTGGTTCAACCAAGGATGAGTGATGTTTTTCTAAGAATGAAAGTAGAACAAAGATGAACTTCTTCCGAGCATGGGTTCACAGATCAAATGTGGTTAAAGCTATAGTTCGATTCCGAAAACTCATAAAAAAATATCTCAAGTAGGATAATTGAATAACTCAAAGGAAGGATAAAAACCGTTAAAAGAACTTACTAGGATCGATCGTCGTAAGTGTAGCAGTACCGTCAAAGTCGCACGTACCACCAGCAGTATGCATTTTCTGGTAGTAATCATTATAAGCATAAGAAGCATGGTCAGTAATGTTATTAGGGAGAAAGCATGGCCTGCCTTGCTGAATGGCAGCACAGTTTGCCCCTCCTTGTCCACAAGCCCAATTCAGACCGTCCTGCAACTTATCTTCATCAGCTCCATCTTTAGCCACACAATAAACCGTAGAAGAATTCGCGGTTGCACGGCCAGAAGCCAAACCCAAAGGATAAACAGTAGAGCCATTGGAGAAAAGTATACCCCAGTTTTTCTCCGAGACCGGGCCAGGCCGCTTGTCTTCATTAAACAACTCGTAAATGTACGTGTTGATAGGTATGGTTGGCTGACTTGGTGGACCAGAATCATTAGACACTCTCCTGATCAGATTGTTAACATAGGTGCCAGCATTTTGAATCGTAGCATCAGGTTCATTTGCTCCACCAGACCATGGCCAGCCAGTCTCGGTAACCACGACGGGAATCCCAGAAAAATTGAAAGCATCGATCGAGTAGTAAGTTGCATCAACCATGGCATCAAACATACTATTATAGTGGAAAAGAGTGTTCGGGTCAACAATCTGCTTAATTGCAGGAAGTGATCGAAAAAGTGCATAATCAAGCGGAAAAATTCCATTCCCGCTCGTGTATCCCAAATAAGGATAGGCATTCAACATGTAGTAGGACTTCGTGTTCTTCAAGAACTGGAGAAGCTGATACATAGTAGCATTCCATGAAGCGTTAAAGGTGGCGGTGGACGGGGGGAAGGGTCGGGGTATCATGTCCATTGATTGGGGAGTGGAAACCTTGACCAGATAGTTTAGATTGGCAGCAACCAAAGCCTTATGTAGGGAATACAAGGCTGGAACTAAGACTGGACCAGCTTGAGGAATTGTAGAAAGGACCTCACTGCCAACAGCAATGGCCGTAATATTTGTTCCTGGCAAGTAAGCTGCAACGTTTTTATTAACCCAGGCTGCAGCGGCTGCAGGCGATTCACCGATCCTGAGAACTTCCTCGTTCGTGACACCAACAATTACCTCGATGCTACTGTTTGCTAAGGCCTTTAGCAGCTGAGCATCAGCATTATAAAGGCGAAGATGAGTAATTTGATGGGATTTAAGAATTGCAACTATATCTGAAGCTGATGGAAGATTGGAGACGTCGGTCCCGAGGTTGACCCCCACAAACGCACCTATTAACGTCAAGAACACAGCTAAGTAACAAATAGATATTGGCTATAAAATCAAACATTTCATTTTTCGTTAGGAAAAAGATCGATAGTAACTAATGACGTTCGTTTGAGGCCGTGTGATCAACCTTTATTATGAAGATCACAGAAATAAAGTTCATAGACATTTTCAAAATATTCGAACCAAACCGAATTCAGAACATGAAGTATGAAGGGCGCGAAAATACTCGAAGTTAGATAAATAAGATACCTAATGAATTGACACACATGCCAAATAGAAGCAAGATCACAATTCCATGACACCCTTCACGCATTTTCGAATCAAACGAAACTTCAACGTTTCAGCTAGGTAGGATTATAGCTTCCCGCTATTTGTCTCGAAAATCGAACTCCCGAAACTCAAACAAGCTAGCATGTACAATCTGCAATCAAGTCATATGAAAAGAAAAACATATATAGAAACAAATAAGAACAACAATTCAAGAGAAACATGTAAAAGTAATTGAATGCATGAAGAAAAAACTGCAACGACAGGAGAGTAATAGAAAACATAATTCAATTCACGAGAGGAGAACAAAGCATTTTTTATAAGGGTGTGGAAACCTCTCCCTAGCAGACGCATTGTAAAAACCTTGAGGGGAAGCCCGAAAGGAAAAACCCAAAGAGGACAATATCTACTAGTGGTGGGCTTGAGCCGTTACAAATGTTATCAGAGTCAGACACCGGGCAGTGTGTCAACGAAGACGCTAGGCCTCGGAGGGAGGTGGATTGTGAGATCCCACCTCGGTTGGGGAGGTGAACGAAACACCCTTTGTAATGGTGTGGAAACCTCTCCCTAGCAGACGCGCTTTAAAAACCTCGAGGGGGAGCCCGAAAGGGAAAGCCTAAAGAAGACAATATCTTCTAATGGTGAGCTTAGGCCGTTACGATGACAAATAGCTTCCGACTCCCCTCACTTCCAACTTTTAATCAGCAAACATCTCATCCATTCTTGTTTCAAACGTTCAGAAGAACTTTTAAACATCAAAGGAAGGAAATCAAAATGGAAATGCACCCACAAGTCTACGTTTGAAAGGTTAAGAATTAGGGGAAAACAAGCTCCAAACAAGCGCTTTCAGCAGATCCACAAACAGGAAACAAATGCAATAAAGCCATAAATATTCAGACAAAGCATTAACAAACAAAATGTAGTGAAACTCTTAGCTTAGCTTACACATATCATCAAAAAGAGAAACCCCTTTTTCTCTTTCTATTCTGCAGACTATGAACTACTGGAAAATCAACTTGAGAAGCCTTGAGCACCAAAAACAAGCCACAAAACACGAAATAACGAAGAACCCATCTGGGAAATCTAAAAACAAGAAGTGGGTAAGTACCCGATCTGGATAATGTATCAGTCTTGAACTCAGCTTCAGAACAGAATCAAAACCCTAAAGAGAGAGCAGAGCAAACACTTGTGAACACAGATTAGTGGAAGAAGGACAAAATAGAGAAGTGTAGAAGAGAGATTCTGAGCAGCCAAGAACACTAAAAGGCGTTCGAAACGAGAGTAAAAGACAGGAGCAAAAAACCAAACACCCCACCAAGCAATAGTTAGAAGTAAAAAGAAAATTAATCCCAAAACAAAACACACCCACGAGAAGAATCATACCCCACCATTTCCCAACGTATATTATTTCGTACAAAACAGAATTAAGCTAAGCTTGTGAGATGTCCAGTGAAAAGAATATGAACTAGAGGTGTAAAAACTGACAGGCAATGCATATAAAAACTTTTATTGCTTGCCTTTTTATTCTCTCTTTCCAGGCATGAAAGGGGGCTTGGATTCTCGTGCTGAGAGGGTCCTGATCGTCGCCGTTCATCTTGGTTTGATGGGGTTTGGAATTTGAAAAGAAAAAGACAATGAATTTGGGAGAATGAAGGATGGAGTGAGGATGGGAGTGGGCTGTGTTGTTCTTTAATTTTAACCCAAAAGTCATGGGCTCTCGTAGTGCCAAAGGAGAAACGCTATTAAATTGAAGCTGATTGTTGAGTGGAACAGCAAAGCCAGCCATCAATGTGTGGAAAGAAACAACTTTTTCTTTTCTTTTGGAGTAATGATATTGGCATTTGCACGGAAATTTCCAATATCTTTGTCTAACCCCCATGAATTTCTAAAGGATTGAAGATAGCTCAGCTCTTGGACGATGAATCTTGTCGTATGAACACAACTTACAGTTGAAGATCTGTGTACAATACATTCCTAGTTCTTTTAGCTAGTTACCTTAGCGAATTTCAAGCCTCTCAATTGAGGATATAATTTCTATAAAGATATGTTTTGATTGATAATATTAATAATTTATATTAAAAAAAAAAAAAGAATATTCAAAAGTGTATAATATAATCAAAATTATAAGTGGATAAAGATAAAAAAAAAAAATAAATAAATAAATAAATAAAATGTGATTTAAGGAAATTAATATGGAATACAAATTTGAAAGAATTGGACGTTTGATTTTGAAAACACTAATTATTGGAAGAAACTGTTAATTAAGTATGGAAGGAGTGGGGCCCACAAATAGAATCCAATAAAATATTCGTAAGATGGACCCCACCTTCACACATGGGAAAAAGTTGCACGTGGGTCCACTTGCTTAGTTGTAGCCAATTGTTTTTTTATTATTATTTTTTTTTTTTTTTTTTTTTTTTTTTTTTTTTTTTTTTTTTTTTTTTTTTTTT